TGAATTTTGTGTTTTGCCTGAAGTTGTCCCTTGCCTTCCCAGGAATATATACATGGCTTTGATGACTTTAGTGTGTACAAGGGTTGACCCACACACACATCTTGACCTTTGTTACCAAATTAAAGTTAAGATACTGAGACCCATTTTATTATCATTAACAAGATGGATCAGAGAAAAAAACATCAGACAGACAACAGTGAACAAACCCTGTGGCTTTCTTGCTGTAATCAAGATGACATCCTGCCCTATTATAATGCTATGAATGGGTCATTGATAAATTTAGGGATTCCAAAATGCCCCATTGTGTGATAGAATTGAAGATCTGGCATGTCACTTTATTAGAAGAGAAATGTCGCCCATTTAGTCAGGGCTACATGTTGATTGCAAACGAAGGGTATTTTTGTCCCTTGACTCATTCTTATAGGAAAGAATCAGAAAAATGTCACATCTTTCTTTGGCCCTGTGAAATGTTGCCATCTACTTGGAAAAGGGAAAAATATGTTCTTTGTATGCTTAAAATAAGATTCTATTTTGAGATTGTAAGGAATTAGATCAACACTAACACATGATTATTTTTATCATTTTTACATATTGAGAGTTCATGACAATACTGTATTTTTTTCATATTAAACGTCCAATTGAATCTTCTTTATTTTTGCTGTAATAGAGTCAGGCTGGATATACAATATTAAATATGACTGTGTTTTGCCTATTTTTACATACCATGTACTAAAGGGTACAAGGGTTAAAATAGAACTAAAGCCCAAACAATTTTGTTTTTCATTTTGGACAGAGTAAGGGATGGTTGTAACCTTTTTTAACATCTGTGTCCCATGGGGAGATTTTTCCCCTTGCTTCCTGTCCCATAGCAACAACAGGAAGAGAGAAGATATTCCTTTAAAGTGAGGGAAATCCCCACTTGTCACTAAAACTAGTTTCCCATTAAAAGATATCCCCTCTATTCCTGTTCTGGTGACAACTCAAAATTTTGGATTTTTCTTCACATCACTTTAAGTTAAAATGGTCATCAGGACAAATAAAGAGGGTGAAATCTTCCCAATAAGGATACAGACAGCAATAAAAACCTGAAATAAAGATATATAGTATTGCGTCACAACCTTCTCAAACCTTCCAATCTATATATATAGACAAATGAAAAAGTGTATACGATATACATAAATAAACTAAATGAGTGAATATAAAAATCAACTCACATAAACGGAATAGTGAAAAATACTAAAAGTAAAATGATAAAAAATATTATATGATAATAATGTCCCACAAAAAAACATATAAGTGACTTTGTGCTGAAAAATCTTCTATATCTTTAAATAGGTGACTGCTTGTGCCTCCTCCCTCAAGTGAAGATGTGCGCTCACCTCATAGATAGCCTGCAATTAGGCTATTAAAGCTTGCGGTTCACCTCCTTGGAACCTACTTGTTTAGGAACTGATGTTGATAAGATAACCATTAAATGCGACATGTGCTGTAGAAAAGTATCCTCTCACTGGGTGCCACTCAGCTGTCTTCTTATTTCCATGTGATTCTCCATAAACAAGAAAATTCTGACATGGTGCTTTATCGTTTTAAAAGCTTTTAATGTGAAGCTGACAGGTGGCTCTCACATAAATCATATAGTGGTAGTACAGCTGATTCAGACCTCCGCTGGCTGTTGGAGCTGTGCGTTCGTGATCCGATGACCGGACCGACTCCCTCCGAGTGACGTGAACAGTCCCACCCCTACGCGTTACGCCACTAGTCACGTGGCTTCATCAGGGGGATAAGACCAATTATATCCCCCTGATGAAGCCACGTGACTAGTGGCGTAACGCGTAGGGGTGGGACTGTTCACGTCACTCGGAGGGAGTCGGTCCGGTCATCGGATCACGAACGCACAGCTCCCAACAGCCAGCGGAGGTCTGAATCAGCTGTACTACCACTATATGATTTATGTGAGAGCCACCTGTCAGCTTCACATTAAAAGCTTTTAAAACGATAAAGCACCATAGGAGGTGAACCGCAAGCTTTAATAGCCTAATTGCAGGCTATCTATGAGGTGAGCGCACATCTTCACTTGAGGGAGGAGGCACAAGCAGTCACCTATTTAAAGATATAGAAGATTTTTCAGCACAAAGTCACTTATATGTTTTTTTGTGGGACATTATTATCATATAATATTATTTTATCATTTTACTTTTAGTATTTTTCACTATTCCGTTTATGTGAGTTGATTTTTATATTCACTCATTTAGTTATTTATGTATATCGTATACACTTTTTCATTTGTCTATATATATAGATTGGAAGGTTGTGAGCGCAATACTATATATCTTTATTTCACGTTTATTCACATTGGTAGTTATGTGTTAAAAAGTTTGCGATCCAACAATAGGAATTTATTACTTGGCTCGCAAGGTTTTTTCAAATAATTAAGCAATAAAAACCTGCCAGGTGTTCTAATCCCTTTCCATTCAAAAACTGAAAAAAAAATGTTTTGCCATTAGTTACACTTTAAAATACCACTGGCAACACAGTACAAGCCAAGGTCAGAACCAGGAAAACAGGCAGCGTGAGACCCAGTAGCAGGCCAAGATCAGAACCGGGAAAGCAGGCAAAGCAAAGTCCAGTAGCAGGCCAAGATCAGAACCAGGGAAGCAAAGGCAAGCTGAGGTTGGTATCCAAAATCCACAGAGCAAGGTCAGGAACTAGCCGGGTCAGCAAGGGGAGCTTAGTCAGCATAAGCAGGAGCAAGGCTCATGGGAAAACTGAAGAACATCCAGTAATTAGCACACACCAGGGTTTCCTTTAAATTGGAAGCTTGACGCCTATGCGCGTGTACGTGTGTGCCCATGTGTGCAGGCACACAGAGGTGCATTAGCTGCACAGGAATGAGAATTAGCTCCACTGAAATGAGCATTAGCTGTAGCATTGGTATTAGCATTAGCTGTGTGATTATTGGTCCTCTGACAGCATCAGCCCAGGTCTTCAGTAGTCCAATATGCTCCCCTGAATACTGCCACAGTCAACAGCACTCATGCTTTACTTAACAGTAGCACTCATGCAATTTACAATAGCACCGTTAACTGGAGCAGTGTGCAGGGGGGACATGTCAAACCACTAGACATCTGGGCTGTTACAATGAGTAAGGAAGACAGTTAAAGATCTTTGTTAGAATACACTGTGGTGGGTGTACCCCTGAGTATAAAGCTTCTGTTTTATCACACTGTTTGGGAAATTTCTTGGCATCAGTGGAAGTAAACATTGCCCAATCTTTAGCATCAGTGGGAGGAATAGTGCCTCATCATTGGTGTCAATGGGAGAAATAGTCACCCATCATTGGTATTAATGGGAGGAATAGTGCCCCATCATTGGTGTCAGTGGGAGGAATAATGCCCCATCATTGGTATCAGTGGAAGGAATAGTGCCCTATCATTGGTATCAATAGGAGAAATAATGCTCCATCGGTGATAGGAATATATAACAAATATCCCTTAGCTGAGAGGGAAGACAGCGTTTGTCAATAGCATGCATAAATAAAATACACTATAAAACTGATCAAAGGAGTGGATGTTAGAGTGCATTCTGACTCCCTTTGTAAAACAAGGGGTCAATATAATCCAGTGAGCTCTATGTGTTTTCACTATCCTTCAATTCTTCCTCTGTTTGGAACATATCCCACCTGGGAACAACGCCTTTATCAGCACTTTATATAGAATGCTATAAAACACTAAGCACTAACACATGTGGACTAGTCATCCATTATGAACATTTCTTTGGTATGTAGTTTTGGTGTTTTTGGTCAGTTTTATAATGTGTTTGTTTATGCATACGTTTGGTCTGCACTGTCTTCCTTCTCAGCTAAAGGATATTTGTTATAAGTTCTGTGGGGTGAGTCACCTTTAGACAGCAGCTGCTGCTGATATATCACTTAATGTTGCTTTTGTTTGGTTTTGATCTCTTCCTATAAGTGCAGATACGATTTGGGTGTCAGTGGGAGGAATAGTGCCCCATCATTGGTATCGATGGGAGGTATCCATGCACTGGGCCGCTCCTTCCCTGCTACACAGGTGTTCCTTGCTCTGGGAGCTGGTGCGGGTCTCAGCTTTCTTCTTTCCAAGCTCCACTGCCTGTAGTGAGCCCCTCTCCCATTTGGGCCCCCTCCCAGGCTCCTGCCTTCAGCCTCACATCCTCTCTGTCTTCCACCCAAATTCTCCAGCTGCTGAGCAGGCTCAGTTACTCTTAAAGGTTGTCCTGGCCCCTTGCCAAGACTCCTGATGGGGATTGGCCATGATCCTCTAAGAGTACAGACCAGCCACTGCCCAGATCCACCCACTGCTTCTAGGCCTTTCTCTAAAGTTCTAGAGCAGGGCAAATTCCAGAGGGCTGGTCTGCAGAGCCTCTCAGATCACTAGCTATCACACCCAGGTTGCTATTCAGCCCTCCTTGCTATTAATTGGAGTCTAGCTCCCCCAGCTGACTAGGAGGGTGATACACCTAACACTCATCCTCACCCTCAGGTTCATACTGTAGCTCAACTGTCTGTACTATAGTGGCAGCTCACTGTCTGAACTGAACTAGCAGCTGAGCTCAACCTTACAACTGAGCCATACCTTGACAAAACCTTCCAACTGAATTGAACCATCAACTCAACCTTCCAACTGAGCCTTACTTTCGGCTCAAACTTTCAACTGAACCATAACCTCAGTTAACCTTCCAGTTGTGCCGTATGATCAGTACAACCTTCCAAATAAACCCTACCATAAGCTCAGCCTTCATCTGATCCATACCATCAGCTCAACTTCCCAACTAAGCCCAGAATCCCATTCAAGAATCAAAATAGAAAGAATAAAATTAATGTGAAAGATTTTGAACTGCATTAAACTTGCAATATACTCTATACCATGCACTATATTTATCTCTTTTAGAATGTCTACAATATTTACAAGCATTCAATGACCGTATTATGTTAAAGTGTTACATTCCCCAGGACCCTACATTCGCTATATCTGGTCTCCCACAGTACACAAAACATGGAAATACAATTATTTTAGTAACTATAAACTGCTAAATACCTTTTCTCATCAGCAGTTAGAACAGTCTTGTGACTTCTATCAGTGTACAGCAGAGCACTGGCTAAAGCTTGTAGGAAGAGTTTTAATTCTTCTCTCACTGTTCTATGAGGTTGCATTCTTCTATTTTTCAGGCTTTTTTTCCTTTCTTTTCACCTGGTGATCCTTCCAGAAACATACACATCCTGTTGTATCACCCTATAGTTTCAGCAAGGATTTTGCAGGGAGTTAGAAGCTTTTTAGAAACTTGGAATGAGTCAGCCTGGGAGTGAGGCAGTGAGGATGCTTCAGGTCAGGCTGGGAGACTCTACAGGTCAGGGCTTCAGGAGCCCTCCCACCCTTTTAGAACCCTGTATTCACTATATCTGGTCTCCCACAGCACACAAAACATGGAAATACAATTATTTTAGTAACTATAAACTGCTAAATACCTTTTCTCATCAGCAGTTAGAGCAGTCTTGTGACTTCTATCAGCGTTCAGCAGAGCACTGGCTAAAGCTTGTATGAAGAGTTTTAATTCTCCGTTCACTGTCCTATGAGGTTGCATTCTTTTTCTATTTTTCAGGCTTTTTTTCCTTTCTTTTCACCTGGTAATCCTTCCAGAAACACACACATCCTGTTGTAGCACCCTGTAGTTTCAGCTGGGATTTTTGCAGGGAGTTAGAAGCTTTTTAGAAGCTTGGAATGAGTCAGCCTGAGAGTGAGGCAGTGAGGATACTTCAGGTCAGACTGGGAGACTCTACAGGTCAGGGCTTCAGGAACCCTCCCACCCTTCTAGAAACTGAAGAAACTTTCCAGAAGAGGGGAGGAGGAGAGGAAGAAGCTTGGATTTGCATGTTTAGGGTAACTTGGACAATCTCCAGGCAGAAGGCCATGCATGGAAGCTAAAAGCAACCCTTAAATGTGAGAGAGCCTGTGCAGCAAGTGTGTGTTGGAGTCGGGTGGAAGATGGGTTGAAGGAAGGTGCTGGAGTGTAGAGCCTGGGAGGGGGCCTCAGGGAGGGGAGCCTAACTACAGGCTGGTGCTGAATGGTAGTATCCCCACTGTACCACAAGTATCCTAGGGAGGACAGCCTGTCAAAAGGGAAGGAGCCAGCCCAGCATAAGGCCTGTATGCACCTGCAACCCACCAAGCTAACAGGACAGGACAGTGTGAGTATTCCCACACCCCCTGGGCCAAAGAAGGGAGAGGGTAGTCAGTTGCAACACTCAACTATTTCTCCTCTGGGACTATTTTACAGTAGCTTCTGGAATCCCTTGCCAAGGGATACCCTCAGGACAGCTGGATGAATGAGGAAAGGTTCATCTGGACTCTGGAGAGATACACCAAAGGGAACTCAGTGCTCATTAAAACGACTGTTACTGATTTTTGGTCCACTCTTTGTACAGTCTTTGCTAAAAAAGATGTCCTCACATTTTACAGTTCCTTGGGCATCCCATATAACCCTAGACCTCATCCAATTTGTTAACCCTTAATAAAAGCAACAACAACAAAAAAAAAACAAGCTCAAGGACTGATTTACTGACTCTGAGAAAAACTGTTGAAAATGCGTATTGCCTGACTGTGCAGAGCTTAGGGGGACCCAACAAAATCCAAATCCTTAAGGGGGTAGCACTACACTGTTCTAGGATGACAACATTTACTCACTTACTGTACAAAGATTTCAGCCCTAGTCACTGCTCATAAGTAGCCTGTTCTATCCTCTGTTCCTTGTCCTGTGTACAAATGGAGAAACAGAAAAAGGGCACACTGACCTAGTGCATTATCGTTTAAAATAATTTATTAAAGAAACAAAAATAGGTATACTCACAATAGACATAATAACACAGGCATGTCAAACTGAACAAGATGTATGAGTCCATACGATGGAACCCTGGATGACCAACTGGCTAACGCGTTTCGAGGACACAACCTCTTCCTCAGAGCCAACCTTGTCCTGTGTGTATTAGCAGGGTGCTCAAGTCCAGGAGTCCCCTTGCTTTCTAGTACACACTGAAATCAATTGAAGGAGGTGGCACACCAATGATATCTTGCTCCAAATGTTTAATCCACTGACACTCCCACCGGAAGCCATGCCCTAATGCTTCACCCATCACAGGACTTAATTGTAGTGATAATTACAAGCCGACCTCAATGCACTGTTTAATTGGGTAACTATGTGGCAAATGAGGTTTAATGTTGATAAATGTAAGGTTATGCACTTGGGGGCTAAGAATATGCATGCATCATACATACTAGGGGGAGTACAACTGGGGAAATCAATGGTGGAGAAGGATCTGGGAGTTCTGGTAGATCACAAGCTTAATAATGGCATGTAATACCAAGCTGTGGTTTCTAAAGCGAGCAAAATCCTCTCTTGTATTAAAAGAGGTATAGACTCCAGAGAGAGAGATATCATATTACCCCTATACAAATCATTAGTAAGACCTCATCTGGAATATGCAGTTCAATTTTGGGCACCAATTCACAAAAAAAACATTGAGGAACTTGAGAAAGTACAGAGAAGGGCAACTAAACTAATAAGAGGCATGGAGGAGATCAGCTATAAGGAAAGATTAGAGGAACTGAATTTATTCTCTCTTGAGAAGAGGAGATTAAAGGGGGATATGATCAACATGTATAAATACATCAGTGGTTCATATAGTGAACTCGGTGTAGAGCTATTCACCCTGAGGTTATCACAGAGGACAAGGGGGCACTTTTTACGTCTGGAGGAAAAGAAATTTAATCTCCAAACACGGAAAGGTTTCGTCACAGTGAGAGCTGTGAAAATGTGGAATAGACTCCCTCAAGAGTGGGTTCTGGCCAGCTCAGTGGATTGCTTCAAAAAAGGCCTGGATTGTTTCTTAGATACACAGAATATAACTGGATACTAACATTTATAGGTAAAGTTGATCCAGGGAATATTCAATTGCCTCTCGGGGATCAGGAAGGAATTTTTTTCCTAGCAGGAGCAAATTGGATCGTGCTTTGCTTTGGGGGGGGGGGGTTGCCTTCTTCTGGATCAACTGTGGGTATAGGATTATAACTTTTTTTTTTTTGTATGGTTGAACTGGATGCACTTTTTGTCTTTTTTAAGCCAGACTAACTATGCAACTATGTAATTACTATCAGAGGGGAAGAATTTAAATACTCTCAAGGTACGCAATCAGACCCAGCAGTAAACCACTGGTGGAATACCTTAGGAGATCATGACAAGGAGGCAAAAGCAATGGAGGAGTGTTGTCTTAAACAAGGTTATGGAAACAGGGACATTAGACAGACTTTTATGAAGTTAAGAAATACATTGATGAAGGCCCTTCTAAATTGATCAAATTAAAAGAAATATATGTAGATACTTCTCTATAATGGAATGGGATGTAGGCCTAAGAGGAGCTTTATAACAGGGAGAAAGGCACCCTCACTGGGGAATATCCTGTCTCATACTTGCTTGAACACCATAGGTATGTATAATTGTGGGGCCATACGCTGTTCTAGCTGTTTTCTGCTGGGAAATGCCCATATTATTGTGTTCTAAAGGTGCAATCTTTGGAATTAAGTAACTGGCTACCCACCATCATCCTTGGGGATTTCAACATCCCTGTCAACCTCGACAACCCAGACACAGCCCGTCTCCTCCACCTAACCTCCTCCTTTGCACTTGCACAGTGCATACAATCCACCACCCACTCTGACGGAAATATCCTGGACCTTGTCTTCTCCAACCGCTGCGCTCCCCACAACCTCACTAACACCCCCTTCCCTCTCTCTGACCACAACCTGATCACCTTCTCTATCTCCTCGTCCTCCAACGCCTACCCCTCCAAATGTCACACTACTACCAGCCGTAACCTCCGCAACCTTAACCCTGCCTCCCTCCACTCTGCAGCTGACCAACTCCACGACCGCATCCTCCCCTGTCCTGCCCCGACTTGGCTTTGACCGCCTACAACAATGCGCTCTCAACAGCCCTTGACTCACTAGCGCCTTTAACCACACGCAACATCAGACCCCGACCGCTCCAGCCCTGGCAGACTGATCACACCAAAACCCTCAAATGACAAAGTCGTGCCCTAGAGCGACTATGGCGCAAAACCAAATCCCAACAAGCCTTCACCCGCTATAAATCTGCCTTCCGCACCTACACCTCCTCCCTCCATGCTGCCAAACAGGCCTACTTCTTGACCCTCATCAAGACCCTCTCCTCCAATCCTCGCCGACTCTTCTCTGCCTTCAACTCTCTACTCTCTCCACCCCCACCTCCGCCCAGCACCTCACTCACTGCCCTTGAGATTGCCAATCACTTCAAAAACAAGATTGACACAATTCGCAAGGACATTGCCGCAACTCACACGCCCTCTCAACCCGTCCCCTCTCACACAGCTACCCCCTTATCCCCCCCCTCCCCCTCGACATAACCCGCAGGGACTTCGTCGCTGCTCAAACTCTCTCCAACCCCCTTCACCCTCACTCAGCTACCCCCCTCATCACCCCTCTCCACGGCCCCACCACTGCTCTGACCTCCTCTTCCACCCCACCCTACATTCCTCATACTGAAGCTCCCCCCACACTCCGCACCTTTGACCTTACTACCATTGAGGAAGTCTCCAAGATCCTCTCTGATGCCCGCCTCACCACCTGCCCCCTCGACCCTATCCCCTCACAACTCCTACGACCTTCCTCCTCCTCCATCCTACGCTCCCTCACCCACATCTTCAATCTCTCCCTCTCCTCAGGCACTTTCCCCTCCCCTCTGAAACATGCACACATCACCCCATACTTAAAAAGCCCTCCTGGACCCCAATGACCCGAACAACCTCAGACCCATCTCCCTGCTCCCATTTACATCTAAACTCCTCGAGCGCCTAGTCTACACCCGCCTATGCTCTCACCTCAACGACAACAACCTCCTCGATCCCCTACAGTCCGGCTTCCGTCCCCTACACTCCACCGAAACTGCCTTACTCAAACTCTCCAACGACCTGCTAACCGCCAAAGCTAATGGCCACTATTCAGTGCTCCTACTCCTTGACCTCTCTGCGGCCTTCGACACAGTCGACCACCCCCTCCTCCTCAAAAAACTACACTCCCTCGGCCTCAGAGATTCTGCTCTCTCCTGGCTCTCATCCTACCTGTCACAACGCTCCTTCAGCGTTACCTATAATGCTACCACCTCCCCCTCACTCCCCTCTCTGTTGGGGTCCCTCAAGGCTCTGTCCTCGGGCCCCTTCTCTTCTCCATCTATACCTCCTCCCTTGGCCAACTCATACACTCTCACGGCTTCAACTACCACCTCTATGCCGACGACACACAAATCTATCTCTCAACCCCCCACCTCACCCCCCTTGGTCTCAGCCCGAATCACACACCTACTGAGCGACATATCAGACTGGATGTCGCTCCACTTCCTTAAATTGAACCTCTCCAAAACCGAGTTTCTTGTCTTCCCCCAGCCCGGACACCACCCCCCATTGATTTCTCCATCACATCCAACAACGCTACCATCAAACCCGCCCTGCAGGCCAGAGTACTGGGTGTCATTCTGGACTCCAACCTATCCTTCCAGCCCCAAGTCCAATCTTTAACAAACTCGTGCAGACTTCACCTCCGCAACATCACCAAAATCCGCACGTTCCTAACCCCAGAAACCAC